CGGAATCATCGTACTCCACCTCCATTCCTCAAGCATTTTCTTCATCCCAAAAATGGTGTTAAACAACCTAGTGAACAATTCCAAGCCTGCTCTACCCACGCTCTTCCAAAATTCTACCGGAATGTCATTTGGTCCGGTCACTCTGCCCCTGCATATCTTACGCAAAGCCCCCTCGACCTCCCCAATTTTAATACACCTACAAAAGCCAAAGTTACGACGACTCTCGGAGTGCTCCAAATCATCCAACAAAAGACCCCTATCCCCCTCTTCATTTAGGAGTTTATGGAAGTATGCCTGCTATCTACGTCTAATATGCATCTCTTCCATCGATACTCTGCCATCCTCGTCTTTGATGCACTTCACCTGATCCAGGTCACAAGCCTTCCTTTCTCTCACCTTGGCTAGCCTGTACAGCTTCTTGTCTCCACCTTTGTCACTAAGTTCTTCGTACAAACGACCAAATGCTACAGCCTTAGCCGCCATAACCGCTACCTTCGCCTCTTTCTTGGCTCTTTTGTACCGTCCCTATTCGTCCTCTTTTTCTCCTCGTCCTTGCTCTCCACAAGCTTCAAGTACACTGCTTTCTTGGCTTCTACCTTTTCTTGGACCTCTCCATTCCACCACCAGTCCCCCTTGTGTCATCCGGCGTAACCTTTTGAGACCCCTAGCACCTCTCTAGCAGCTTTCCTAATGCAGTTCGTTGTTATGGTCCACATACCATTCCCGTTCCCATTACTCCTCCATGCCCCATAGCCACCAACTTCTCCCGCAATTCCCCCCCAACTCCCAAGCTTTGTCCTTTGTCAAGGCTCCCCACATGATCTTGGGTGAACCATGCACAACTTTCTTCTTCCTCGTCCTCATGATCTCCAAGTCCATCACCAAGAGCCTATGTTGGGTTGAGAGATTCTCACTCGGAATAACCTTGATAAAATAAGATATCAACACCTCAATTCTCACATAAATACATGATACATGTCAACAACATTTCTATCAAAGCCACTGCATGAGTATATGATATGCAAATCTGCATGCTCAGGATCCCTTCTCAAACCTCACAACACAAATCCATATGCCTGACACATGCCACGTGTCCAAACAAGCACCAAAAATCCCGTGTGTCTACGCTCACAGGGCCCATGGTAAGTAATATGAGTAATCACCTGACTTCGGAGGGATGGATCCATATCCAAGCGTTTGATCATTTTACAATAATGATCAATAACCAATAATTATTTGCTCTCACTCATGCATATGTGTATGAAATAATATACTCCATCCGTTTCAATTTAAATGACTTACTTTCCTTATTAGTCCTTTCCAAAATGAATGTCATAATTCTATACTTGAAAACAATTTAACTTAAGCTTTTTATTTTACCCACTTTACTGTTAATGATAAGCTTTTATAGCCACACAAATGTCATGGTCCCATAAAGCTTTAGCCCCTTAAGCTTTTAAGGCCACATATTTCAAAAGCCTTTCTTTTTTTCCCTTAAATTTTGTGCCAAGTCAAACTACATCATTTGAATTAAATCGGAGAGAGTTATAAAGAAGCGTCAGATAACAATAAGAATGCAGATAAAAGCTCATATGGTTAAAAGTTGACTGTGGTTAATCATATACTTCCTCTGTTTCAAAAAAGATTGGGCTATTTCTTTATTAGTCTGTTCCAAAAAGATTGACACCTTTCAGTATTTCCTTGATAGGAAGCATTTTTAGCCACACAAATGCTATGGCAAGTTTCAGACCATAAAGTTTCAAAAGTTTTTCAACAACACAAATGCTACGGCTTATTTAAGGCCACATGTTTTAAAAGTCTTCCCTTGTTTATTAAAGTTTGTGCCAAGTCAAACTAAGACAATCTTTTTGAAACGGAGGAAGTAATTCAATTTATCACAATGGTTCAATAAGCTGTTTAAGTACGCACAAGTTTCATCATATTATTTAACATGAGTCAATTAAGCCACATAACTACCAAATCATGGAGCAAATACGACAAGTATATGACTATGGATTAACAATAAAGCTCAACATGGCAAACAATCGTTTATGTCCAGTTCAACAAGTCATTACCTTGAACAAACTCCTAAATCATAATTATGAATTATCACGTAGTCAATGGAATCAACGAAATATGGATAATACGCTCACATAGTCCAAACAAGGCATAAGCATAAGTCAATCTCTACCGGATAAAGTCATTACCAAGCTACACATATACGCTCGTCACCTCACATATGCGTGACTCCTAAGTCAAGCAACATGTAGCAAATAGATCACATATGAGGAGAATTCTCTCTTACAACAATAAACAAGAGACTTACCTTATCCTAGCAAGCTTAAATCAACCAACAACTGCCTTTCCCTTCAAAACCCAACACTAAATTACTCGAATCTAGTCAAATATAACTCAATAACGTCAAACAAATCTATAGGAATCAATTCCAAACGATAAAGCTTCAATTTTTAATCAAATCCCCAAAAGTCAGCAAAACCCAACCAGGGCCACATTGTCACAATCCAAGTCAAGGGATAGATCCCGACTATCCATAACCCCACAAGTCCAAATATGTGATTAGATTTCAAAACCGAGTCCAAATCGACTCTCAAATCCCCAAAATTTACCCTCTTAAGTTGTAGACAAAAACCTCAATTTTCTGTTTAAAATTGCGTGATTAAAGTGTATAATTCCGCAGAGGCTCAAGATATATAATCAAATCCAAGTTAAAATTACTTACCTACAAAGTAGTGATGAAAATCTCCTCAAATATCGCTTCTTACCGAGTTCCGAAATTCAAAATAATGAAAAAATGAGCTAACCCTCGAAAATATGAAGTCTGCCAAGGGTCTCGCATCTATGGAACAAAGGGTCGCTTCTGCGACATATCGATCACATCTGCGATCCTCACTTACACAACCCCACCGCATCTACGGAGAAGCTATCGCATTTGCGGATTTGCAGATGCGACCATAAATGCGGATCTGCGCTACACCTTGAGCCAGCCTAATCTTGCACCTGCGCACGAACCCCAACTTCTGCAAAGGCGTAGATGCGGCCAATTCATCGCTTCTACGGCCTCGCACCTACGCGAAAACCATCGCAGGTGCGACACACCAATACCAGATCGTTCAAACAACTTACAAATGGTCTGAAACCAATCCGAAACACACTCGAGCCCCGGGTCCCAATCCGACCATACCAACAAGTCCGAATACTTTATCCAAACTTATCCAAATGCTCATGACACCACAACAAACATCGAAACCAAGAATCGGCAATCAAAATCCATCTCTTAGCTTCCAAACTTTCCTACTTCGCCAAACGTCCGAATCATGCCTAAACCTTCCGGATTCCAACCAAACTTGCCGGATTCGAAACTTTGCACCTATCCAAGTTCCGAAACACCAATCGAAGCCCGATAACATCAAAGTCAACTCCCGGTCAAACCAATAAACTCTCCAAACCTTCAAATTGCCAACTTCGGTAAATAGAGCCAAAACCTTCTAGGAATCACTGAATCCAAATCCGAACACTCCCTATTCCAAAGTCACCATACGAACCTATTGAAACCATCAAATTTCGATTCCGAGGTCTTTTACTCAAAAGTCAAACCTTGGTCAACCATTCCAACTTAAAAGTTTCCAAATTGAGAATCACTCTTCCAAATCTCTCCGAACCTATCGAAAATCAAAACCAACTATACACGCAAGTCATAATGCATATACGAAGCTACTTAAGGCCTCGAACGGAATGTTAAAGCTCAATATGACCGGTCGGGTCGATACATATATTTTCTTATCAAGAAGTATTCCTGCTGGTTCAGATAGATTTAATGATTCGCCTGATCGATTAAAACTACGTTGCCTTTCCAGCCCCAGAATTCAACTTCTTCTATTCGATGTATTATACATGCATTGAGATAACCAAGAGAATAACCTACTTTTCTTGTCTGAATTGTTATGTAACTGGTCATAGTGCTTGCTTACTTCTCTATATGCAATAAAAAGGCACTGAAAAATTTATAATAACAGTGTTGACGTCATCGTTGGCAGCTTTCCTTTTGAAAATGGTAACAAATAGTCGTTGGCAGCTTTCTGAGGCTCTAGCTAACTTGGTTGACCAGTACGACTAAACCCATTAGGCATTTAGCTTGAAGAATCAATTCTATTAAACACAATTTGCTGCAAGTTAGGTCTTTTGAGCACTGATCATTGGAATGCTTATTCGTGTATTCGTGCTTATTTTTCGGTGTTTAATATTTTTGGGTGCTGCAGAACTTATAATTGTGTTCTGTCACGACCCAAATTATGGGACTGTAACAGCACTCTATGATCTTGCTCCCATTAAGCTAATCACTTTTTGAATTTAACTCAACTGAAATCTGTAGAGAAATACGTACTTCTTATGTTGCTCGGACTCTCCGAAAATGTAACTGGGTCCGTGTCCGATCCTCTAAAAGTAGTGCATTTTTGGAGGATCTGACACGGGTGTGGCAAGATTTTTGAAAGTCCGGGCAACATAGATTACTTCAAATGCTAAATTCATATCCTAAGTACATGCTACCAAGTATATTGAGAACAACTCTAGAATAGGGCAGCGTGGTGCACAAAATATGCCGCGTTCACGGGTTCGGGGAAGGGCCGCAACCCGAGGATGTGATGTAACAGTCTACCCTAATGCAATCATTAGTGGCTGCTTCCACGGCTCGAACCCATGACCTATTGGTCACATGAGGACAACTTTACCGTTGCTCCAAGGCGCTCCCTTCGGAACAACTCTAGAATACTGAACATAAACAGTAGTTTCAAAAATGAGGGTATAAGGTCTAGCACCAAAACTGGAACATACTTATCTTTTAGAAAAATGCTAAATGCAAAAAATGTATATCTTGCTTTATGTGTTCTAAATTTTCTAGTGTTGTCTTCTCATCTTTAAAATTATGAAGGAATACAAATTGTTGTTGGAATAGACATTTCTGACACAGCGATCAGGAAGGAATCTGATTGGGAGGAAAATTGAAGATTATGGGAATGTCAAGCTAGTGACAACGGTCTGATCTCAACCCAATAAGTTAGGTATCTCCAATGTCTGATCCCAACCCGATAAGCTAGGTATCTCTTTAACCTCTATCCAATGGGTGATCGTATCTCAACATAGGTTATTAGTACTCTTGGCATCTGCGTCTCTGCGATATTCATCTTGTGGATGTGTTGAATTTTGGTGGCCCAACATTCACTCATATCTAGTGTTGTTGGTTTTATAACTGTTCTATAGAACTTACCCTTGTAGGCTTCACCATTTCAACCATCCGATTTTGATTTTATGTGTATACATCTTCATCTGTCATCCCATTCTCCTGGAATAACCATCGTAAATATCTGATTTTTTTTTTTTTGCATTTGGGCACAGCAAACCTATGTTATTTAACCTCAATTTCACTGTTCTTCATTTATTTATTTTCCATTTGTTGAAATTCACTGGTGATTCAAGTGTCGGTGTTACTTTTATTGATGATCCATGCGTGTGTATGTTGTATGTGTACGCATTGTATCATCTCTTGTTTGTTATGCTCATAGGTAGTAATATATCAATTCTCAGATTTCAGATCTCGAGGATACACCTATTAACCTTTTCTTGCTTGATCATTATGGTTTCAGGTATCCAACATTTTTTGATGATATTGCTGCACGCCTGCTTCCGATCATCCCCCTAATCATATATAGACTCGTTGAAAATGACGCTATGGATGCAGCTGATAGAGCTCTCCAAGTTTATTCGACCTTCCTTCATTACTATCCTCTGAACTTTACGTTTGTTCGTGATATACTGGCTTATTTCTATGGTCATCTTCCTGGAAAGCTAATACTCCGCATATTAAATATCTTGGATATTAAAAAGGTGATGATGGTCGATGCTTTTGTAACTTGCTAATTGTTTTTGCCCTTCTCTTTTAATAATCACTGAATCATTCTTTTTTCCCTTCTTCCTTTCAGATTCCATTTTCTGAGTCATTCCCGCAACATATCAACTCATCAAATGCAGCCATGTGTCCACCATTGGACTACTTTGCTACTCTTTTATTAGGACTGGTGAAACATGTTATTCCTGCTTTAAATAATAGCTCCAAATGTGCAGCAATGGGAGATTTTGCAAATAATTCTATGCGTGCTCCCCATGGCAAGATCCAAGCCACATCACAACCTGGGCCAACTAATTCTTCTGAAGTGCAGAAACCATATTATCAGATGCAAGACCCTGGGACTTTCACCCAGCTGACTCTTGAAACAGCTGTAATAGAGTTACTTTCTCTGCCTGTTTGTCCTTCGCAGATTGTCTCAGCTCTTGTTCAAATTGTTGTTCACATACAACCAACCCTTGTCCAATCCAGCAATGGGCTACATGGAGCTCCTGGTAGTTCTGGACAAGGCTCTATCTTGCCTACTTCTCCTTCAGGGGGAAGTTCTGATTCTTTGGGTGCAACTAGGACGACTCCATCGGTTTCAGGAATGAATACTTCTAATTTTGTTTCACGTAGTGGTTATACTTGCCAACAGCTGTCTTGCTTGTTGATCCAAGCTTGTGGTCTTCTTTTGGCACAACTTCCTCCGGAGTTTCATGTACAGCTATATGTTGAAGCTGCACACATAATCAAAGAAAGTTGGTGGCTTACTGATGCAAAAAGATCAGTGGGTGAACTAGAATCTGCTGTTAGCTATGCTCTACTAGACCCCACCTGGGCTGCACAAGACAATACCTCAACAGCCATTGGTACGCTTTCTTAAACTCTCTGGAATAACTTTACCTGTTTGTTTGCTTACTCCCCCGGTCTCTATTGATTGACCTCTATTGACTGGCAGTGTGATCATAAGAAGCCAAAAATGTTGAATGGAAAAAAGGGGAGAATTGCGATTTTGGTATATGAAGTAATGCATTATTCCGGATTTAGTTCCATATTATTTAACTTCACATATCTTGCCTTTAATTGGACAATACGTGCGCTTTACTACTTGGAGTTAACAGAAACTAATGGAAGATAGTAAAAACTAGAGAATTTTGATTAAAACAGAAAAAAATAAAAAAGAAAACGTAGTAGAACTGGATGACGACTCTACTTCCTCCTCCAACTTCGCGCTTGCTGATCCTCTCCAACCTCTTGTTCATCCTCCTACTGCTTTCACCAGAGACAACATGCTCAAGTATTTCAAAGTTAACCATGTGCGTACTATTAGAGTGTTACAAAATGAAGGTAATCATTGCCTTTGTGTATTTGTATATAATGTTCTGATTTATCAGTAGTTTTATCTATCAAAGTTTGCATGTAATACTGGAACACTTGCGTGAATAAAATTTTGGCGTACACAGAAAATGAAGATACAAACCAATTAGGA